TGGTTTTCATACTCACAAATATTTACATGCGTTTTGTAGTTATATCCGTCAGGTAAAAATTCTTACTTGCCATATTAAAGATGTATAATTATTTTGTTTTTAAATTCTGATTTTACTTTTTTTCCATATTCCGAATGTGACGTCAGTAGTGCTTTGTATAATAGTTCAAATTAGATTTTTGTCCAGCTGTGTATATATGGGGTCGGAACGTTTATCCTGTTTACTTTATTGACGACTGCATTGATATGATCGGCATTAAGACTTATGGTCGGTATTACCAGGACCCTTCTCTCTGTCAATGTCTTCCAGCATCCCCAACCCCAGATGGAGTCATATAGAAGTGCAAGTTTGTTAGAATTGTGAAATTAAATTCAATACTTTGCACTTATCTGGATTGAACTCTATCAGCCAAGTATCACACATTTCTGTGTTTGTTTACATCATCGTTCTGGTTGTGTCTTGTTGTGCCTATTGTAAAGTTTCGTGTCATCGAATAACAAGAAGGCCGTCGCTTCTGTACATTATTGTAAGTCGTTGATGTACAGTGTACAAGTACACTTTCAAATAGAAATCCGCTCGTAGATTGCATTCATTTTGATTTCCTTCATTGACCGATATTCTTTATTTCATGTTCAGTACGATTCTATGTCGCCAATCAATTATCCTATTTGTATAACCGTAAGATCTCCTATTTCCTATGATTCATTTAAGTAAAACAGTATTGGTAGTCTAGATAAATAGTCTGGATTGCTCCCCTTTGGTCAAGAATTTTGGACATTGTCAATCGGCCTTGAGCGAACCCAAATGAGCGCTAGAGTATATCTATAACAATTAGTATTTGTTAGAACGATTATTTCTATTGGAATATGGGATCAAACGTAAACTAAACTGACATAATTATGTAACGTATAAGTACAACCAAATAGTTTGATAAAGATGTTTTGTTAAAAAGCTGCTGGCAAATGTCCATTGGAAAGAACATTGTGATTGCAATGATATGAAATGAATGCAAAGGCGACATTTGTTAATTATTTTTACATTGTAGTTGTACTTGATGGTGTATCATCAATCAAAGCGCCGTCATCTACATTGGATGTCAGTCGAGATAACAGGTATCATCCAGCCGGGAGGTAGATTCCCGTAAAAATCAGGGGAAACAGTTTGTTTGTTCTAAATCTTTCCATCATCTCCGAAACTGAGTTCAAATAAAATGTAAAATGTCAAAGCGGATTACATAAGTCCTGGATAGTTGTAGTACTATTTGACGACGAATGCACGCTGTAATATGTAATCATAGGTATACATTAATTAGTGTTACTTGCTTTAACTAAACTCTACTACAGTATTACATGAAATAACAATGTAATCAACAAAATCACTGTCTTATAACGATATGTATAGTATGTACTGGCGCCAATAAACAAACACCATAAGGGTTATCTGAAAATATTTAGACTAACAAATGCTACATCAAGATAAAACAAGCGGTAAGGTCTTGTAAACCATATTTGTTACCTAAAGGGAAGCTTTGTCCCTCGCACTGTTGTATATACTTTTTCTTCACTTTCATGAGCTTTTATCGAGCATTCTAACACGATTCGTTTGCAACGCGTGTTTTGATTGAATACGGACCTCTTTTGAATTTTTCCATATTCTTATTTGGGGTTTGTCAAACTGTACGATATTTTGTAGTAAAACATATTTCAACGCGCAAGCCGAGAGTGCAATACATTTCAAAATGTAAAGCAAATTAATATTTGAAACAGGGCAATGAGTACGAAACATGGAGTCTGTCTTCTAATTAATCTTAATGATCATGACGTGAAAATTTCATTTTATGTTGCATTACATAAATTGGATTCACTTTCATTGAGGGTCAAAACCATCAGGTTCATCATTCAAAAATGAAGTATAGCTTTTTGAAATTCAAAATAAAAACGGAAGCAAAAAACAAAAATCAAAAACGAAAAAACTGCTGCTTGAAACAGAAAAACAAGTCTGTATTTCTTTATTCAATGTCCAAACACACTCAACAATCTTCATGAACAAGCATTTAATAACGTAACTCTTGTCTTCAATCACTATAACATTACCTATTCGAAAAAAAAATAGCAAGCCTTACTTGATAACCAAGGAAATCCTGCCTTTTCATTGATAATAACTTTGTTAAGTTCGTTGGCAAGATTTTCCAGTACACAGTAGGCATTTTTGTTCTGGCCGATTTGGTATTTTTGTTTCCATATGAGGTTTGATTTATCGATGAGCTTATCAGGAATGGTAATAAAAACCTAGACACGCTTGGAAATCAGGGACAATACGGTCTCTTCTGCTTCTGTCGCTTCCCTCGATCTTTCCTTACAACATAATCAACAGGCTTACTACAAAACGATCCGATAAGCGGGACGATTTCTGTATCCCTATATTGAATGTTCCCTTTGATGATAGTAACATCCCTGCTCCCTACCTACGGTGTGTACATGTCCCAATGGTTTGATGTTCAAGATCCTGCTCCAGTTATCGTGACTTCCGTGATAGATATCCTCTGCTTACGGACAAGTTTACACCACAAGGTTTCCGGGTATGAAGTGTTCTAGTCGCCATCATGGTCTCGTGTGTGATATGGAAGTCATCTCGTGTGTGATATGGAGGTCATCTCGTGTGTGATATGGAGGTCATCTCGTGTGTGATATGGAGGTCATCACGTGTGTGATATGGAGGTCATCTCGTGTGTGATATGGAGGTCATCTCGTGTGTGATATGGAGGGCGGGGTTCTAGGTGCGAGGTCCTGACATTACCTGGATTGGACCTAGATTTACCCCGCGGTGGTCATGGATAAAACAGAAGCTTGACGCTTACCCTTCAGGGAAACCATTGTACTTCTTCGAAAGTGCCCATGTTAATCTCTCTTTTGTTAATATATGTAACAAGTTAAGTTTGACATACTTTTATCGATTCGGATCAGTTCACAATTTTATAGAAGTGGGCAAGTCGATGGTCCTTTCGTCGATCCCTGATTGTTGATATAATTACAGGGCATCCAGCATTGACGTAACGCTGCTTTTTCTGCTACCTTTTCCAAATAATGGATGTTATGCTGTTATGGACCCCATATCGTTGATCTGTATTCCAAGACAGGTTCGTACTAGCGACTTCTATCTATCTATATAATCCACAGCGACCAAAATGGCTTTCTTCTTCTTCTTCCTTTAATGGAGAATACTCTATCTAGAGTATTGAGTTCTCCAGCGCGACTTATGCCGACCGCAGCTAAAATTTCCGTATGTACAGTTTAAAAGAGGTAAAAACATAGCGTATTGGTGGCCGGCTGCCTCGTACTGTACGAGGGCGTGCCTGAAGCTGCCAAGGGTGGGAGACGATCGTATGTCGGGTGGGATTGCATTCCATGTGATGATGGTACGTGGTACAAACGAGTATCGGTATGTGTCGAGCTTTGTTGGAATTTGCCGTATGTTGTTGAACCTAGCAGCTTGTCGCTGGACTCTCTCCAGTTGGTCCTTCTATTGTTGAAGATGAGGATCCTAGACAGTGGAGGCATATATACTCAAGCACGGGCCTAACGAGTGTAGTATAAGCCTGGGCCTTGACTTCTCTGTTGCCTCCCCTAAGGTTTCGCCGAAGGAATCCAACTGATCTTGCAGCCTTGGCAGAGGTTTGGTTTATGTGCTCACGCCAGGAGAGATCCGAGCTGATATAGGCTCCAATGTATTTGCTTCCGGGGACAGTCTCTATGGTTTGGCCGTGGAGTTGGTAGTCGGTGTGGATAGGGTTTCAATGGGGAGGGGGTAAAGCACGCATGCGATATTTAGCTTCGGTGTATCCCATTAGGTAGGGATTGATCCGTGCGACGCTATTTATTTTGGATATCATTTTCAAAAATCTATTTTATCAAAACTGTAATGCTAGTTTGGAGAAGAAAATCTGGCTTGACTTGTATCAATAGCCTTGCTAGATTCATGAATTATTGTAAAATATCCTCGGGTTACCGGTTTCCGCGCACTTTTGAAGCATCCGCGATTTCGTACTCATATCGGCAGAAAACTGTTGAAATTACGGAAGACTGTCATAAACATGTATACATTCTACTAAAGGAATCAAAAAAATAGCAACATAAAACAGTATTTTAAAAAAATCAGAACAAACAATTTCTAACAAATTTCTCCCGTCGGAAATAGCCGTCATATGTTTCCGTGTGTCTATTTTGATTTAGTGTTCGAAGAAAGATAACTCGAATACACTAAAAAGAAATTCTCTACAGTGACCTGCAAGAACAAAAGCTTCGTTTGGTGTAAAAAAAAACAACTTTGATCGTCAAATTAAGATCAAAAAACATTTTTTTTAAATTTCACATTTTTAATTGATTTTTCAAGATGTCAAATTGAACGAATTCATGTAATTTTATAAATTTATTTATTTTATTTATTTAGTTATAATATAGAATCTGTTATTATTATTTTTTCTGCAGTCTTATATCGCTTTTGGTTGATGGCAAGTTATTTCTCATTTTATTCGGTTTAAAATTGGTGAAAATTGGAAGTTCGTTGCATTACAGGGTTTACGTTTCATTGAAAACAGTGTTTATCGTCTAAAAACGTCTAAAATATCCTTGTGTTGTGTCCAGCTGGTCATGTAGTTACGAGATATAGCTTGATAAAATGTCTGCGTGGAAATACATAACGCGCGGAAACAGGTGACTAGACGATATCCAATGAAAATACATGAAATCATTCTATTTGAAGCATTTTCTTACATCTTTCTCGCTTATAGTGAAAAATACAGGTATTGTTTTAAGGAATTGAAATATTCAATGTAATTTTGGGCCACTCAAATTCTGACTTCAAAAGTAAAAAGGGTGTGTCAACCTTTGACCAATGGAAAAAAATACCAAAATCTCGGTAAGCCTCGTTATGATGTCACAAAACGAAAGCACTCGGTTTGACCAGACTCTCTAGATCTATTCGGCGTAGCTTGGGAATCGGTCAATGTGAAAGTAGCTTCTGCGCATGTCGGACCGGAATGGAAAATATTACCGTTGACATTTCCACAGCGCATGTAATCTTTTGTGGCGTGCGACAGCTGGCGAGATATACGACATCAGTGTCACACACGACATGGGTTAGGGTAGACAGGAGTGAACGGGGATACACAAGGGATATATCTTGAGCTGTTTATTAAAGCGGATAGATCAGAGGACCACCTGTAACCAACAGGTGGCTTACTTCCCAACTAGTCTGTATACTAACTGCAGATAGCATAGTACTGTTGATATTGTTATTTACTCATTATCTTCTCCATAATGCGGACAAGTATGGCAGCCTCCACGTTAGTGCTTTTGTTAGGCATGATTTACACGTGTGTGGTCGCGAATCACAACGACAGCAGACCCGCGCACGAGATCGAGGGTAAGTTTACATGACATCATCGGGCTAATACATTTGTTAATTTTCACGAAAACGAGAAAAATAGTTCTGTGATATGTACAAGTGTATATATGCATTTCTGTCTTTTTGGATTGATTTCATTCACAGGAAAATGAAATTCTGTCAAAACTTAATAATAACAGTAATAAAAACACCTATAATATAAGCATATTATACTCACTGGTGGGCTTTTGTTTTGTTTTACTGTTATATTTAATTTTTGACGATATCAGACTCCTGTGATCTCATTGTAGTCTGAGCTAACTGAAGAGCCATGCAGATCATATTGTATGTAAGACATTTTGGGCTAGCTGAAGTGTCTATCGGCTGTTTGATGGAACAACCATCTAATGTAGTTTCAATGCATGGAGACTGTCATCATTTTAAGCCAGTATTTACAGTGGAAAACATATTCTTTTTTTGAATTCTGTAATTATGTTTAACTAACATGAGAATATAAAATACAAAAATGTACTCTTCATTACTTGTACAGTACATATTTGTTATATGTGCGTATGTTAAGGAGTGTCTGAATAGAAAAATGTGTTTAAAAACATATAACAAATCATATTGCACATGAGCTGTGCCCTCTAAAAAAAAATGATGAAGGGCGTGCCAGAAAACTGCCAAAAATAGTAAATAACCCCCACTGGACTTCAGTAACTAAACTCACTCAGTATACGGGAAACTTTCATCTATAAATCAAACATCGATAGCTACCAGCGAAATCCATATTTGCCCATGCAGTCTTAATTTCACTCTTCGAAAAACATATATCATTGGTATATAATATTGTGTACTTATATTGGCAATTATGATGAATTCACCCACATATCACAGAGATCTTAAAGGGAAAAAGTTGAAGTGCAGCGAAAATTCCTTATGAACAGTATGGTGTTTGTTTTATTGCCAAACATCACAATGTAAATGGTTTAATACATGTAAGCCCTGGAATCTGAAGCCAGTTATTCTTCAATTACATTATGGATATCGAATAAAGTTAATTTTGGTAGCTTTGTAAAAAAAAAAAAATGAGAGTATAGATATTTGAGCATTACACCATGTTATTTGTAAGATATAAAATATGCCAGTCCAGCTGTGTGAATTAACACTTATTATAAGTTCAGAACTATGGAGACTGTTCTGTCCAGCTGCTGTTGCTACTTGGTCAGTACATGTGTAGTAGGTAGCTGCCGGTTACTGTCCAGCTGCTGTTGCTACTTGGTCAGTACATTTGTAGTAGGTAGCTGCCGGTTACTGTCCAGCTGTTGTCCCACAACAGCCCCTGGCAGGAGTCAGTACTGTAATTAAATCTGAACTACCATATCTATAGCAGATCATGTGTAAGATTAAAGTTATTATTATTATAATTTATACCCATGACCTAAGGCTCCTAAACTTTGACCCCTGCCATCCTGTTACCGGGTCACAGACTGTAGCATACAATTACTTAAAGTGGTGTTTTTTGGTCTCATAAAAAATTGATGATGAAGTAGTGATTAGATTACATGGGTAAATTGTGTAAGACACACTAATGACTATTACTGATAGGGATCCCTCCTCACTAATAGTTTATTGATTATCATCTTAATAGGGTAAACTGTACAGGTACAGTACTGGGTGGGGCTACTCCCTCAGGATTGAGACATATCTGTTCTGCTGTAGTAGCACCAGACTATCAAATGGTGGTCCTGAACTGGCAATTACATTGATGACTTAAAGCTATGACCAGAGAGATGAACATGTATCTGCCAACACTTTTAGTTATAATTTTGTTTGCTTTTTTCGTTACAGATATTTATGGCTTAAATATAATCACAGTGTCTGTTATATTACATAAATATATCTATATATATGATATATTATGAGTTGATTTGAAATGTTTGGTAATACCTGTATTTTCGTTATTTGAGCTGGGGAAGTTAGGTGTTGTTGGTGGTTGTTTATAAAAAGGTGTATTGCGTCAGTGGCAGCAGATGTGTGAAGGTTGTGTAACCTGGTCTTGATATCAAAGTTAATCTGCCATGGCAGCTGGTCTATATATTTAATATCCACACAAAGCTTTGAATAATCATTATTTTAATTTTTCTTCTCTCCATTTTGACGCATTTTCAATTTGGAAGTACTGTATTACCATTTTACAGATATTAGAAATTAGCGCATGAATTAAAGATAAATACAACAATGCAAAATTAATTTTCACATGATTTTATGATAAAAAATGTAGGGCCAAGAAGTTAGTGTATACATATAAAACTTTAGTTAATAACAGTATAAGGTACAGTAAAACAGTGATGTATATATTTTGGAGACTGGTAACTTAAACAGCACATGAGAGAAATCTATAGCATGTCACTTCTGTATGTAGGGGGAAATGTTCACTTATAACCATGAACTCAGCGAGTTCTCCATTTGACACCAGTGTATCTATCTAAATTAAGTTAGTGATGGTGTCAACTTAACATGGACTGACTTCCCCAGTGCCATCTCATTGGCCAATAAAAATAAAAGCTCGTTTTCGAAACGAAAATTACACAAGCCTTAAGCTTATAGTTGTCTGCCCAATAAAACTCAATTAGCATACGTTATATGAAAATTACTATGGACAGGGTAAGTGTCTCATTTGAGGTTAAGTTTAAAACAGGAAAGAGAATAGTGTGCTTCCACCAGGGATCGAACCTGCGATCTCCACTAGGTTCCTAGTCAGACGCTTTACCACTGAGCTAAAGGGAAATTACCTCTAGCTCAAAGCTAGAAGGCGACCGTAATACATGTACAATTAAAAACCTGCCACACTATTCCCCCCTTTTAAAATGTGTTCGCCCTCGAACACCACGACCCAGGTTCTAACTCCCTGTCACCACAGGGAGGGCAACATATCTAACAGGAAAGAGAATAGTGTACTTCCACCAGGGATAGAACCCTCGATCTCCAGGTTCCTAGTCGGACACTCTACCACTAAGCTTAATGGAAATCCCCTCCAGCTCGAAGCTAGAAGGCAACCGAAATCCTAGACAATCAAAATCTGCCACAAGTTTAAAGACGAGCAAGGGTAAGCGTTTCAGCTGAGTTTGAAAGATAGGGTAATTAAGTCACTAAGTGACTCTTCTGAGTTTGAGTTAGGAGTTTTTGGTATACATATTCATCTCTGATTGAGTCTTACTACCAATTGACATTGACAGACTTTTTAATGAGGTAAAAGGTGTCACAATCTTCTTTTGTACACCAAGTTGAAAATATCCAGAGAAGTTTTTGAAATGTTTTAAAGCAAGATGCTTCAAAGCAAATGAATAGTGAAAAGCAAAGCTCAGTTTCTAAATAGAAATAGTTCAAGTTAAGCAAAATTACCTGGGGTAAAAGTATTTTACCTTTTAAATGTGACATGAAAATCATTCAGCTTTCCAGTACTATAATTCTGAAAATGCTCCAGTAGTTAACCATCATGTACAAATGTACATTTGTACTTTCATTCAAAAACAAAAATAATACAAATGAATAAGATTAGTTTGACATAAAAAATAGTATACATCATGTAAATATTGCCTAGCTTTATTAAAATACCATTTATTTTGAGAAAAATAGTTAAGTACTTTGAAGGAAGTGTGTTTACGTTAAAAACACTTTCTCAGAAAATAACAAATTGGTAATAAATTAATAAGTTTCTGTGATACTACGTCAGATTACATCGATGTGGTGGCAGCATCATGACCCGAGGGTAACATGTAAGGCCAGGTCCTGTTGGTTAGGGAATGGGCAATGGTACCCAGGTAGGACCCATGGGATTCCCTTGGCTATAAGTCTCGGGATAAGACTTCATGTAGGTGAGAGTAGAGTAACGGCCCATAATACCATGGCAAAAACACTGCCTTACTGGCAGCTAGATGGATAACCCGTGGACTTGCTCAATAATGTTAAGCGGCATTGAGTGTGGCTAGATGGATGCCTGCTCACTTGTTAAAAATTGCCGACAACAATATAAAATTGTCTACTACAACACTGTTAATTGTCTGTGACACCAGTCATTGTAAAGGAAGTAGTTACCAGGGTGTAATATTCTACTAATGCCTTGAACTACTTTGTAAGGGTAAGTGACCATTGTCAGTATAAGGTATTTACAATGAAAATATTGGTCAGGCTAGTGTTCGTTTGTCAAAATCTACCTGCAGGCTTGTCAGTGCTCTAAATATGAAGTTGAACCCCCCTAAGTAATAATACAGTGATTGGTATGTGTTCACACCTATCTCCTTCAACCTTGCCATAAAGAAACCAGTGAAATTTCTCTAGGCTTCGGTATCACAAACGTACTTAAGCTGAGATTTGAGTTCGAACTCAAGAACTCAAGCTCTGCGTCCGTATTTCGTTATCACAAACTAAAACTCAGATCAAAGCCTCAAGCTGAGCTCAAAAAGCTGAGACTGCCCAAGAGCAGACTTAAGTTCGAACTCAAGCTCCAGAACGAAACTGTTTGCTTTAAAATGACACTTGTCCTGTGCTTTGTATCAGTGGAGTCATTAATCCATAGACTTAGTAGAAGAAAGAGCAAGTGATCAATTCCTCTATATAAACACTTGAGTTAAGCCTTAATATACTTCAGCTGAAACCTGCCGAGTCTACAGAGTAAAACCATACTATAAACTAGAACTTGTTAGGTCCACCGAAATATTTAATACCGACAGAAGTTGTTGTCCATCTTTTGTCAAGAAAAATAGAGATTTTCATGACATATAAGTTTTGACAAACTTAACTTGTTTATGGCGGGGTGAGGAGGTCAAGTGACTCATGCAAGTCTGTAAGAAGGGTAGGATAAGTTTGAGATAGGAGCAGCATGATAAGTAACTTACATGAGTTAGAGTTAGGAGGAGAAGGATAAGTACTCGCCTGAGTTTGAGATAGGAAGGGTAAGATAAGTAACTTACATGAGTTTGAGTTAGGAGGAGAAGGATAATTACTCGCCTGAGTTTGAGATAGGAAGGGTAAGATAA